CCGGTCCTCGACCAGGCCTCCACCCCCAGGAAGCAGCCCGTGACAGCTGACTAACTCCCAGGTACCTATTTACTGCTAGGTAACAGGGGCATTCAGGGTGAAAGAAACTTTGCCCATTTGTTTCTGCCTCGTTCGGGAATCGAACCCGCGCCACAGAACTACGAGTCCTGCGCGCTATCCACCAGGCTACGAGGCCCCCCACCAGGCTACGAGGCCCCTGGGAGGGCACTGAAAGCCATGACCTGGAATAGACGTGGAGCCTCTATTACCATGCTTAAAATGATGTACACAGCCTATGTGCGCTCCATCATAGACTATGCAGCATTAGTTTTGTGCACCTACTCCCAAAGCGATATGAAAAGGCTCAAAAGCATTCAAAATGAAGCCATGACAATCATTCTTGGAGTCCCAAGAACTGCCAAAACATCTAATCTACGAGAAGAGTTGTCCCTCTCCAGTATTAAAAGCAGAATTAAAGAACTGAATGATAAGCTTGCAATTAGGATAGCCAGAGATCCCTATTATAATGATATTGCCAAGAAAAATCTGAGTTCTATGCTGCTAACAGGAGGAAACAGGAGAAGCAAAAAATGGCATCACAGATCAGTCTGCTTCCTCGAAGAACTTCACCTGTTTGAGCAAGCCCGTGTTACCTCCCTGGGAGGATGACTCATGCAGGATTATCATCAATGAAATGGCAACAAAAAAATACAACATGATACCACAAGAAATGAGGCACAAGTATCTCCAGGAAATTCATAAAGAAGCCAGAAATGAACTAGATTAAATCTACACTGATGGGTCATCAAATCCTATCAATAGCAGGACTGGTGCAGCATATACTGTAATTAAGGATAATGCTTTTCAATACAGAAATGAAGAAAAAGCACATATTGAGAACTGCCTCTTCAACGCAAGCAGAGCTAACTGCCATTGTTATGGCATTAAGATCCCCTGAAAGAAACACTAATGGTGTAGTGATGTGCACCGATTCAAAAGCAGCACTACAAAGCCTCAGTAAAAATCAGGCAGAAAATCTTGCGATAGTCACGAAATTAAGAGAGCTGTGAAGGTACTGACCTACCAGGGAAGAGTCGTCAAATTTCTGTGGATCCCCTCCCATGTTAGAATATGTGGAAATGAACGAGCAGATGTGCTGGCTGCTGAAGGAGACCATATTGAATACTTCATACCCAAGACTCCCCTACAAATTACAGGTATTGTCAGGCAACATCACCGTGACAAGGGAATTGAGGAAAGGAGGATAGAAGCTGTGACGGGTTGTGATATCGCAGCTATACTGAATCAAGATGGTATGGCTCTCCCGCACATAATAAAACAAAAATGCTGCTATTGGCCCTGCAGTGTATAAGTCACAGGTGGAAACAAATAAAAATCATCAAATAAATAATTAAACAATTTACTGAAATATTAATGAACATAAATGCCCCTGAAAATACTTGGCTCTCATGTAATGCAAAATTGAACACGTTAGTATGATCTTAAATGTAAAAATAAACTACAGTATTAGCAATGAAGAAAAGCATAAAGATATACTGGTGTACTGAAGACAGCTACCATACCACCATGGCATCAATCACACGACGTTGGCTGAAGGCGGACGACAGGTGAGAGACACGAAGGTGATCCTAGAGCACTAAGGGAGAGACTGGCTCCCCAGGGTTGTTGTTGTTAAAGATTCGTTATTTAGAACAAAAAGTTCCAAGTAACACGGGCTATGGTGAGCCCACAGTGGACTCTTTCCAGGGAGGCAGCACCCTTTATATAGTCCGGCGGTGATGACTCATCCAGTGTCAACACGAGGTGGACATCTGGTCAACTAGCAAACTGCTCGTTATGGCTGGCGGTGCCTTTGTGTTGAGCTGCACCACTGTCAGCTGAAGGCGGCTAACTGCTTGTTTGTAGGGGCAAACTACCGGTTAGCAGAGGCACCCAGCTTGCCTCCGAGTCGTACCAGGCTGTGCCAGGCCCTGGGGGGGTATGGAGAGGTGGCAGGACTGATGACTCATCTAGGCTGGTGTAGATGTATACTTCCAGTGCAGAGGCATTGAAGGTGAAGGGAAAAGGCAGTTCCACTGCTATGTAGGGGATTCACGTGACAAAGCAGAAACCAGTGAATCTGTATGATGGTACAACACGGTTGCAGCTGGCAATCCCAATCATTATGGACGGAGAGGAGGAGGACGCGGGAGAGAATCAGTAATAGTGAGGAATCCGTCTTGGATACAAATATCCATGGAGGTTCGGAATGGAAACAGCAGTTGATTAGCGGAATTGCAGAATCTGTGATGAGAGTGACGGACACTGCCTTGACCACTATCTACGTGAAAGTGAACACGTGAGGGACATTAGAAATACATGTAGAATAATAAACTCCACATTGTTTGAATTAGGACAGCACTATTTGTCAAATATTGATACTGTTCTTAACACTTTCGCGCTTTAGATTAGAGATAGCTCGTCACCGTTTTTTCTTACGATTCCGCATAACAGACTACTTTTGTAGTCCATCGAAAAAATATTTCTATAAATTCCATTTTCTAACCGAAATGGATGGGGATACTCTCAGATTTTTCTCCATGAAATTCCCGTTCTCCCTCACCGAACACATGGCATCTCGGCCAAATGGTCAAATATTATGAGTTTGCAAGAAAAACCCACAAATGGACCAAGAAGATCACTTTCTATTTTCTGCAAATGGCCATGCACAATGCATACGCATTGTATAACCACTACTCAACAGATACAAAAAAACTAACACTATTAGAGTTTCACGCAGTAGGAATAAAAGCCTTATTGGCGTGGAACAGCGAGGAATGGCCAACAACAACAAGCATACCACATGTTCCCGACATAGATGCCAGCGCAGCTCCTCCTGCTGACGCGGCAGTTTCAACACCCGGGCCATCTGGTGCGAGGCGGCCTCTGTTCACCTCAACACCTCAAGCCCACTCATCAACCACAAATTCTGAAATGGACATTGAGGACATAGAACCACTTGATGTTTCACCTCAACACCTCAAGCCCACTCATCAACCACAAATTCTGAAATGGACATTGAGGACATAGAACCACTTGATGTTTCTGATTTCATAGAAGATTCTACTACAAGTTTGGTGGTTCCTGTAGAAGACAATATTCCTCCAGTGCATCCAAGAAATAGAAGAATTATAGATTCAGAACGTCTCAACTACAAGTTGACGCATGAACTCGTGCACTTGGCTAAAAAAAGAAGATGCTGTGTTTGTTTCAAGTCTGGCAAAAGGAGGGACGTGATATATGGATGTAAAACTTGTGATGTGGCACTGTGCGCTGCGCCTTGCTACACAAGGTACCACCGAAGAAAGATATTTTGGGTGGAGAAAAAATAACCACCGGCAACAGCTTCACTCCACCTAAGAAACATCAGATGAGCAACTTCAGGATCAGAAGCCTGAAGATGGTGGAGTGAAGAAAAAATGCTCAACTGTTGATCTTCAATCAACATAGACAGGGTAAGTACACCTATTTGGAATTTTTTATCATCTATAAGAAGTTATATTATATACGTTTTGTAGAGAATTTATTTGCGAATTTTTTTATACCAGAATGAATATTATATCACATAAACTTCTATGAGTAAAAAAAAAAAACACAAAGTATGTTTGGGGGTGTGGCGGGTGTGGCTCTGGGTGTGGCGGGCGTGTGGCTGTGGGTTCCCTTTAGCCGTTGATATATCCAACACGTGGAAAATATTTATATGTGTTATGTATATGTCTGTGTAGGGAATTTTACTGCGATCACTGTCATACAAATTATAAAATGTTTCAACAAGTATAAACATGACAAACATCAAACGAACGAAAACAATGCGTTCGTTTCTGCCGCGAACGCATACTGAGCGACGTGGTTCTATATTTGGCGCTTCTCTTACACATGCTTTGTGCAATTGTTATACATTTCATCTTATAGGAAATTTTATTGCGAACACATTGGTATAAAAAAGAAATACGTACATAGAAAAGTAGGGTCAGGAAACGTATAAATGTATAAACTTTCCAAGCATGATTTCCCCCCCTGTGTTTTCGCCAGTGCGCTCGTGGCTAACTACTCTCCACTTCACACACTCTTGCGGGTGGACAATTACCTATATTAAACATTCATATGCATATGTCCGTGTAGAGAATTTTATTGCAATTCCAATGATACCAAAATTAGCGATGTAGGACAACTGTAGGCTTCGCAACCATTAAGAGAGTGGAAACATTTTGTTGCTGTTTGGCGCTCTCGGCGAGTGATCTGCATAGTTTTTTATTTGGCGTTGATACTCTTTATGCTTGGGCGGCATTTTATAGGTATGCTCTTATAGACAATTTCATTGCGAACACAGTGATACCAAATTTAAATACGTGCGCCTTCAATTATTGTCAGGACAGTCAAAAGAGTGTACACTTTTTCGGTCTTACCGCGTAGGCGCGCGAAGTGCCGAAAGCATCTGGGGTATTGTTTTTTTTTGAGCGCCGAGAGCGCGATAGTGTTAATAGATTCCCCCATTTTGCACCCGCAAGATAACGTAAGTTTTTATGGGTTGACAGATGTTAATCTTTTAGTTCGAGGAGCTGTTCACCTGAGACAGTTAAGCAAGTCCCAGCTGTGTCTGGGTACAAGTGACAGGATGAACAACCTAGCGGGTTTTCTTCCTATTGGGGAGTGTTGTACATGCTGCTATGGCGGTGTGTCCACTCACAGGATGAGTGGCGCTGCCCAATAAACTCGCCCCTAGGGGCAAAATTTAAATTTAAAAAAGTACTTAATTACACTTGGGTAATTCGGTAATTATACCCTCTGGCACACCACTAGTGACATTTGTCCACTCCATCTTCAACTCATTGATGTTAACTGTGATTTATATCTGTCCTTGTCTAGGCCAGTAGAGGTGGTTGCCCTTGGGTAAATTCAGTTAAGTATAGATGGTTGGACGATTGACGCCGGTTTCATACCTGCCAGCTGATCCTTGTTGTTGTTGTGATGACGGGTAGGGGGGGGAGGTGCCAGGGGCCTGCCCACCCCTCCACTCTTACCAACATACCACAGCCCATCACCATACCATTTACTGTTCATTATTTGTTCATTTACTGTTTATATTCTGTACTATATTGATTTAGGCAAGAATTTGAATTATATAATATTTTACTGTTAAATACATTACACTGTATTGTTAAATACATAATGGAAATTAAATATAATTCTAAATACATTTTTTTCATTAACAAACTTAGGTATACACAGCAGAAGTGTGCTGCTACCCTATTCTATATGAAAGATTACACAGTGTAGATAAAAAACTAGCTATAATTTCATCTAATTTGTAAGATTTATTAGTCTCCACTAGCAAAATCTGGGTACAGCACGATAATATTCCTGAGTGTATGAAGTAATTACAGAGCTCAAAGTACCTCATACCATTTGGTTTGAAGTCGCTGATAACAGGGCAATCACAGATATAAAAGTATGTCCCAGCTCTTGTTCACATAGTTTATAATTGTGATGATCACCATTGGGGGATTTCATTAATTTACAAGAAAGTACATTGGGTTGTGAGAGTGCATAACATTGGTGTTTGAATATTACATTTTCACAAAGCCACTAACATGTATAGCGTTTCGGGCTGGTCCGTTATCTAACTGATAGAAGTAAGAGTATTAATAGGCATACTGTAGTGGAATTTGGGGTCAACATAATAACTACATTAAATTAATCGTATTGATTATACTAGTGAAGTTACAGGTTTTAAGTTCTAAAGTAGAACCTAAGTGTTAAGTAGTACTAAGGTAATACAGTAGTAATAATTAAAATAGTAAGTAGTATTACTATTTGAATTAGTAAGTGTTCTAATTTCCTGTACGAATTAGACAGGGAATATAGTAGTAAGTGAACTACAGTGTTAAGTACATCGTTACTATGGGCTAAAATAATTAAATAATTCCTTCACGTAGGTACATTAGGCAGGTAGCCCGTCTGTGTTATTGTTTACCTGTGTGGCCCCTCCTGAGCACCGTCCCTGTGGCCCGTCCCTGGCCTCCTGCTCTGCTATTGGCACTCCATAACTGCTGTCCAACACCTTACTAGGCATACTTGAGTAGCGCAGCCGTTGCTGGCTTATATTGCAGAACCCCAGTAAGTTTAGTAAAGTTGTTTGGTTAGAATATTTCATTAGAACTGTTAAGTTTTAATATAAAAAAAATAGAGTATTCTTCGTTTGCTTCAGTGGGTATTGTCAAATCAGACACAAACGTTGGCTTTGCTGAATTAGCAAAGTTATGCTTTGGTAATTTAAGTTATTTTCCGTATAACTAGATAGGTATTAATACAACTGATCCCTTGGAACTTCCAATACAACTAATGCATCTTGTATACAAAATTTCATGTATTCGCTTCTAATACTGAGGGTTTCATAAAATTTCCTAATACTGCCCAAAAGTTCATAAATTGGTCTCATTTTATTTTTATTTATTTATTTATATATACAAGAATTCTTACTTTTTTGTAAAGCATGTATACCAACATGTATAGCATTTTGGGTAGGCCCTTAATTTAAATTTTCCCTGGAATACAACCCTCCAAATCGTTTAACATCCAGGTACCCAATCATTGCTGGGTAAACAGAAGTGTATTTGAGAGAGGATTAGCTCCTTGTCAGTCCTCCCCAAATGAAACATTTTGTTTCTGTAAGCATGTCGAATACTATAAGAATATACAGTATACATGAAGAACAGAAAACAAAACTGGGTTCGACCTTCGAGGGCCCCTGCATTCATATTCTTAATGTCCAACAATACATGATCACTCTTTCCCAAGGGAGGAAGGTACTGGATGTCAAATATCTCTTCTTCTTTCCTGGTTAATATTAAATCCAGTACTGACAGAACATCCCCTTCCCTCATTCTTGTGGCCTGCTTGATGTATTGATACAAGAATGTCTCCAGAATGAGGTTTACAAATCTGCATGTCCAAATGTCCACTGTTCTTGCTTCATAGGCCTCCCAGTCTATTGCTTTAAAGTTGAAGTCCCCCAGTACTAACAGTCGTGATTTATCTTTATCTGCTTGTACTGTACTATAATTTCTCTCATGACCATTATGAGGCTCTCGCATTTGTCATCCAGTTCTTTCTTTGTTCATGTGTTGCTTGCTGGTGGGCTGTAGGCATATACAGTACAAATATCAGTTTATCATCCTGATTCCAGACCTGCAATGCCATTATGTCTCCTTCTCGAGGGTTGTCAGGTATAATCTTTTACCTTCAGGTGTTCTTTCACCAGCACAGCCACTCCACCCCTCATTCCTAGTTTTCCTGTCATGTCTCCAAACTGAGTAGCCCCTTGGGAAAACGACTTCATTTAAAATATTTTAATCAAGTTTCGTCTCTGTTAATGTGACAATATCTGGGACCTTAAGCTGAATTATATCTTGCAACTCCAATATTTTTGATCTCACTCCATCTATGTTGGCATATACAATTTTCAGGAACATGTTCCCTTTCCTTTTCTTTTTTACTTCCCCTTCCACTAATGATTTTGTTGCCTTGTTTTTAGTACCATTTCACTAGCTTTCCAGCCCCTAACACTTTGTAGAAAAATAAAATTTCTGTCTTCATTTCTATTCCCATTTAGACAGTTTATTTATTGAAGTTCAATTTCAGCTTTTTTCTGTCTTCCTTTGAGAGGTCTTATCTTATTGACCAAAGTTTGCCAACTTCATCACTCTACAATTTCCTGCCATTTCTAAGCACTTCCGTCATATGTTTCACTCCATTAAACATCACCATTAAGGGGCGGTTCTTGTCTTTCTCATATTTCTATACTCTCCTAAAATCACTTACATTTTCCTTTTGAATTTAGGCCTTCTCCTAAACCTACTATTTTCTCTATGATTTTCATCTCTTCTGCTGCTCTATCCACCCGAGATGATATTTCCTTTTTTAAACACCTGAAGATTATTATGGACTTAATTCTGTCTGCATTGTTTTGTACTACATTAGTTTACTGTTGGTTACCAGTTCTTTCCTAAATGCTTGCGTAATTTCTGCTTCTTGTTGGTCATTTCTGGTTTTGACTTCTAAACACACTTCTTTGATCCTCTCTTCCTCGTTTTACAACTTGCACATACATCTCTTTTATTTCTTCTTTATACTTTTCCAGTTATTTATTAACCTCCTCTATGTGAGTTGTCAATGAAGTTTCTCATTGCAAATTCTTACCTAACTCTCTGTTGGCCTTTAGGATTCCCTGGAGTTGTTCACCATATGAGTCTATTTTCTTGTTATTTTTTTCAAATTCACCACTCTTTTCTTTTCATGCCTCATTATCTTTGACTAGTTCCTTGATGTGTGCCTCCTGTATCCTTATCTTATCAGTCAAGCTGGTAATTTACATACCTTGCTTGCATTTTTCTTCTAATTTAATTACCTTTTCTTCATAATTCTTTAGCATGTCCTCAAGAAACACTAACAAGTGTGTGCATAATTATCTGACTGTAATTACCTAAGTGTAGTTTTAGGATGAGAGCTAGGCTCGTGGTGTCCCGTCTTCCCAGCACTCTTTGTCATATAATGCTTTGAAACTACTGAGGGTTTTGGCCTTCACCACTTTCTCGCCTAACTTGTTCCAACCGCCTACCACTCTGTTTGCAAAAGTGAATTTTCTTATATTCCTTTGGCAGCTTTGTTTAGTTAGTTTAAATCTATGACCTCTTGTTCTCGAAGTTTCAGGTCTCAGGAATTCTTCCCTGTCAATTTTATCTATTCCTGTTACTGTACTATCTTGCACGTAATGATCATATCGCCTCTTTTTCTTCTATCTTCTAGTTTTGGCATATTTAATGCCTCTAACCTCTCCTAGCTCTTGTCCATCAGTTCTGGTAGCAATGTTGTGGCATGTCTTTGCACCTTTTCCAGTTTGTTGATGTGCTTTTTAAGATATGGGCACCATACAACCGCTGCATATTCCAGCTTTGGTCTAACAAAAGTCGTGAACAGTTTCTTTAGTATTTCGCCTTCCATGTATTTAAAAGCAATTCTGGAGTTGGAAATTATAGCTTAGGCTCCTAGAACAACGTTTTTTATGTGGACCTCAGGTGATAGGTTTATCTCCAGAACCACCCCTAGATCTCTATTTATCAGAATTTTTTAAAGTTTTCTCACATAATTAATAGGTTGTGTGGGATATATGTTCTTCTATTCCACATTCCATAACATGACATTTATTCACATTAAATTCCATTTGCTAAGTGGTGCTCCATATGCTGTACTTATTTTGTCCAGGTCTTCTTGAAGGGCATTACAATCAAACAAATTTTTATCTTTCCTATTATCTTGGCATCATCAGCAAATATGTTCATATAATTCTGTATTCCATCTGTTAGATCGTTTATGTAGACAATGAACATTATTGGTGCAAGAAATGAACCCTGTGGTACTCCACTTGTAACATTTTCTCCAGTCCGATACATTGCCTCTGATTACTGCCCTCATATTTTCTGTCAGTTAGAAAATTTTTCATCCATGTTAGAAGCTTACCAGTCACTCCTCCAGTATGTTCCAGTTTCCAATATGTGTGTGAGAGTGTGTGCAATTACCTAAGTGTAGTTACAGGATGAGAGCTACACTTGTGGTATCCCGTCTTCCCAGCACTCTGTCATATAATGCTTTGAAACTATTGACAGAATTGGCCTCCACCACCAAGTCACTTAGCTTGTACCAACCGTCTTGTAGATTGGAACTATGTTCCAACCGTTTTGTAGATTGGAACTATGTTAGCCTTTTTCCACACGTCTGCTACAACTCCTGTACACAGGGATGCCCGAAAGATCAGGTGAAGTGGAATGCTGAGCTCAGATGTACATTTTCTCAGAACCCATGGTGAAACTCCATCTGGGCTAACTGCTTTGTTCTTACTTAGCTCCTTTAGCATATTTTTCACTTCATTTCTAGACACCTCTGTATGCACTATGTTGTTCTCTGGAATTCTTATTGTGTCTGGTTATCTGAAGATTTCATTTTGTACAAACACACTTTGGAACTTTTCGTTTAATGTTTCACACATTTCCTTTTCCTTGAATCTGTTTCCCATTTTAAACCACTGGATATTATCCTTTACCTGCAATTTGTTGTTTATGAATTTGTAGAATAGGCCTGGTTCTGTTTTACATTTATCCGCTATCCCTTTTTCAAAATGTCTTTCTGCCTCTATCCTTACTGCCATATAGTTGTTTCTCTTATATTTGTATCGCTGGTATATTTGGTGGTTTGGCCTCTTCCTATATTGATTCCATTTTTGTGTCTTTGGTCTCTGGTCCTCTTGCAATTTCTGTTGAACCAATCCTGTTTTCTGGCCCTGTATCTGTTTTGGTATGAATGTTTGTGTGCCTTCATTGTATATTTTGCAAAATTTGGCATACCTTTCATTTACTTCCTGCCTAGCAACAGGTCTGTCCAATTACACTCATTAAAATTTTTTTGAAGTTCCCCATAATGACCTCTCTTGAAATCAAGTTTATCAACTGTTTCAATGTTCCCATTTTCTTCTAGATGATATCTTAAAGTATATTTAATGTCTAACGTCTAAAAGGTGATCACTTTTTCCCAAGGGAGGAAGGTCAAATAGCATGTCAAATATCTCTTCTTCTTTCCTGGTGAATACAGTACTAGATCCAGTACTGACGGTACATCTCCTTCCCTCATTCTTGTGGCTGGCTTGATGTGTTGATACAAGAATGTCTCCAGAATGAGGTTCACAAATCTGCATGTCCAAAACTCCTCAGTTCTTGCTTTATAGGTTTCCCAGCCTATTGCTTTAAAGTTGAAGTCCCCCAGTATGAACAGTCGTAATTTATCTTTATCTGCTTGTACATTAATATCTCTCATGATCATTATGAGGCCCTCTCGTTTGTCATCCAGTTCTTCCTTTGTCCATGTGTTGCTTGCTGGTGGGCTGTAGGCATATAAAATTATCAGCTTATCATCCTGATTCCAGACCTGCAATGCCATTATGTCAATATCTCGAGGGTTTTCAAATATTAACTCTCTTACTTTCAGGTGTTCTTTCACCAGCACAGCCACTCCCACTCCCTTCCTAGTTTTCCTGTTATGTCTCCAAACTGAATAGCCCCTTGGGAATACGACTTCACTTAATATATTTCCTTCAAGTTTCGTCTCTGATAATGCAACAATATCTGGGACCTTAAGCTGAATTAGCTTAAGTGTGAGTGTGTGAGTGTAGCTAGAGTGTGTGAGAGAGAGGAGAGAGAGAGAGAGAGAGAGAGAGAGAGAGAGAGAGAGAGAGAGAGAGTATATGAGAGAGAGAGAGTATATGAGAGAGAGAGAGTATATGAGAGAGAGAGAGTATATGAGAGAGAGAGAGTATACGAGAGAGAGAGAGTATACGAGAGAGAGAGAGTATACGAGAGAGAGTGAGTATACGAGAGAGAGAGAGAGTATACGAGAGAGAGAGAGTATACGAGAGAGAGAGAGTATACGAGAGAGAGAGAGTATACGAGAGAGAGAGAGTATACGAGAGAGAGAGAGTATACGAGAGAGAGAGAGAGAGTATACGAGAGAGAGAGAGAGAGAGTATATGAGAGAGAAAGAGAGTATATGAGAGTGAGAGAGAGAGAGAGAGAGTAGAGAGAGAGAGAGAGAGTGAGAGAGAGTGAGAGAGAGTGAGAGAGAGTGAGAGAGAGTGAGAGAGAGTGAGAGAGAGTGAGAGAGAGTGAGAGAGAGTGAGAGAGAGTGAGAGAGAGTGAGAGAGAGTGAGAGAGAGTGAGAGAGAGTGAGAGAGAGTGAGAGAGAGTGAGAGAGAGTGAGAGAGAGTGAGAGAGAGTGAGAGAGAGTGAGAGAGAGAGTGAGAGAGAGAGTGAGAGAGAGAGTGTGAGAGAGTGTGAGAGAGTGTGAGAGAGTGTGAGAGAGTGTGAGAGAGTGTGAGAGAGTGAGAGAGAGAGAGAGAGAGAGAGAGAGAGAGAGAGAGAGAGAATGTTTGTGAGAGTGTGTAATTACCTTGGTGTAGTTACAGGATGAGAGCTATGCTCGTGGTGTCCCGTCTTCCCAGCACTCTTTGTCATATAACGCTTTGAAACTACTGACGGTCTTGGCCTCCACCACCTTCTCACCTAACTTGTTCCAACCGTCTACCACTCTGTCTGCGAAAGTGAATTTTCTTATATTTCTTCGACATCTGTGTTTAGCTAGTTTAAATCTATGACCTCTTGTTCTTAAAGTTCCAGGTCTCAGGAAATCTTCCCTATAGATTTTATTAATTCCTGTTACTATTTTGTATGTAGTGATCATATCACCTCTTTTTCTTCTGTCTTCTAGTTTTGGCATATTTAATGCCTCTAATCTCTCCTCGTAGCTCTTGCCCTTCAGTTCTGGGAGCCACTTAGTAGCATATCTTTGCACCTTTTCCAGTTTGTTGATGTGCTTTTTAAGATATGGGCACCACACAA